GGGGGGGGGGGGGGGGGGGGGGGGGGGGGGGGGGGGGGGGGGGGGGGGGGGGGGGGGGGGGGGGGGGGGGGGGGGGGGGGTTGGGGGGCGGGGGGGGGGGGGGGGGGTTGGGGGGGGGGGGGGGGGGGGGGGGGGGGGGGGGGGGGGGGGGGGGGGGGGGGGGGGCGGGGGGGGGGGGGGGGGGGGGGGGGGGGGGGGGGGGGGGGGGGGGGCGGGGGGGGGTGGGGGGGGGGGGGGGGGGGGGGGGGGGGGGGGGGGGGGGGGGGGGAAGGGGCGGGGGGGGGGGGGGGGGGGGGGGGGGGGCGGGGGGGGGGGGGGGGGTGGGGGGGGGGGAGGGGGGATGGGGGGGGGGGGGGGGGGGAGGGGGGGGGGGGGGGGGGGGGGGGGGGGGGGGGGGGAGGGGGAGGGGGGGGGGGGGAGAAGAGGGGAGGGAGAAAAGAGGAGAGAAGGAAGAAGAAAGAAAGGGAAGAAAGAAGAGGGAAGAAGAGGAAGAAGGAAATGAAAGAAGAAGAGAGGAGAAGAAGGAGAAGGAGAAAGAAGAGGAGAGAAGGAGGAGAAAGGAAGAAGAAAGGAGTGAGAAGAAGAAGAGGAAGAGGGGGGAAGAAGGGAGAAGAAGGAAAGGAAAGGAGAGGAAAGAAGAAGAGGAGGAAGAAGAAAGGAAAGAGGAAGGAGAAGAAGGAGAGAAGGAAGAAGAGAGAGAGGAGAGGGAAGAAAGAGAGAAGGAAGGAAAGAAGGGGAAGAAGGAGGAAGAGAAGAAGAAGAGAAAAGGGAAGAGAGAAGAAAGAGGAGGAGAAAGGAAGAAGAGAAAGGAAAAGAAGAGGGGGAGAAGGAGGAAGAGAAAAGGAAGAAGGGAAAGGAGAAGAAGAGAGAAGAAAGAGGGAAGAAGAAAGAGAAGGAGAAAAGAGAAAAGAAGAGAAAAGGGAAAGAAGAAAGAAGAGGAAAGGAAGGAAAAAGAGAAGAAGAGAAGAGGAAGAAAAAGAAAAGAAGAGGAAGAAGAGAAGAGAGAGAAAAGAGATGAGAAGAAAGAGAAAGAAGAGGAGAAGAGGAAGAAGAGAAAAGGAAGAAGGGAGAAGAAGAAGGAAGAGGGAAAGGAAGAAAGAAGGAGAGGAGAAGAAAGAGAGAAGAAGAAAGAGAAGAGGAAGAGAAAGAGAAGAAAAGGAGAGAAGAGAGAGAAAAAGAAAGGGAAAGGAGAAAGAGAGAAGAGAAAAGAAGAGAAAGAAGAGCGAAAGGGGAAGAAGAGAAGAGAAGAGAAAAGAGGAGAAAGAGAGAGAAGAAGAAAGGAAGAAAAGGAAAGAGAAGAAGGAAAGGAAGGAGAGAAGAGGATGAGAGAAGAAAGAGGGGGGGGGGGAAAGAGAGCGGGGGGGGGAGCGGGGGAGGAGAAGGCGCGAGAGAAGAGGTAGCGGGGAGGGGGAGGAGGGGGAGGGGGGGGGGGGGGGGGAAGGCGGCGTGGGGGGGGGGGGGGGTGGGGGGGGGGGGGAGCGTGGGGCGGGAAGGGGAGGGAGGAGGGGGGGAGGGGGAAGAAAGAGAACGGGGGGCGGAGAGGGAGAGGAGGGGGGGGGGGGGGGGAGGAGGGGGGGGGGAAATGGGGGGGGGGGGGGGGGGGGGGGAGAGGAAGCAGAGGGGGGGGGGGGAGAGAGGGCGGGGTGGGGGGGGGGGGGGGGAGGAAGAGGGGAGGGGGGGGGGGGGGGGGGGGGCGGGGGGGGGGGCGGGGAGGGGGGGGGAGGGGGGGGGGGGGGGGGGGGGGGGAGGAGGGGGGGGGAGGAGGGAGAGGCGGAGGAGACGGGGGGGGGGGGGCGGGGGGGAGGGGCGGGGGGGGGAAGGAGGGAAGGGCGATGGGGGAAGACAGGGAAACGAAGGAGGGAGAGAAGGAGGGGTGACGAAGGGCAGGGGAGCGAGAGAGAGCGACGGGAGGCGAGCGCAGGACGAGACTGCGAGGCAAGCCGCACGCCATAACTACGAGAAGAAGCATCGGCTCACGTGACAGCCACCGTCAGGGAAAGAACGAAAGCCGTCGAGGCGGAAGGGAGAGGAAAGGGCCCCCCACCTCATGGCCAGACTGTCCAGCGCACGGGCGAACGAGCGGCAGCCCCATGGCTGGACAGCGGACGGGGCAAGAGAAGGGAGAGGGCGAAAGAAGAGAAGGGCCGGGCACAATGGGAGATGAGGAGGCAGGGAGACAGGAAGGCGGGCAAGGGGGGAAAGGGACGCCGCCAGACAGCTCGGCGAAGCAGAAGCGCGAGGGAAGGGAAAGGAAAGAGACGAGCACACAGGAGCGGGAAGGGGAAGCGGGGAAGAAGGGGAGCGGCGAGGAGGCAGGGAAGACAGGGGGAGAAGAGCGAGAAGAACAGGGAAAGGAGAGGAGCAGGGGAAGACCGGAAGGGAGGGGCAGGGGAGGAAAAGGGAGAGAAAGAAAAAAGACAGCGGCCGACAGGAGAGCCAGGGGAAAGAGAGCGTGAGCGAAGGGGGAGCCAAGGCGCGAAAGAAAGAAGGAAGTCTAGCTATAGACCAGAACCCCCCCCCCCCAGGAAGAGATAGAGAGAACCGCGAGGAGAAGGGGAGGACGAGAGGAGACGGAGACGAGCGTCAACAGAGGAGAAGGTGAACAAAGATGGAGAGGAAGGAGAAAAAGGTAGAGAGAGCAGGAAGGATCATGGGAGGACACCCGGGGAAGAGAGGAAGAAAAGAGACGAGAGAGGAAGCCACGGCGGAGACAGAGGAAGAAGGGGGAGAGAGAAGTGCAGGCGACAGAAGGACCAAGAGAGGGGAAGGAGAAGCCGAGGAAACGGGGGAAGAAGATAGGAAGAGCAGCCGGGGAGGGAGCGGAAGGGGCGATACAGAGAAGGAGAGCGGGGCTCAAGGGAGACAATGAGGGGGGGGTGAGAGGGAAGAGATGAAAGGAGGAAGGCAGAGGGAAAAGAGGGAGGAGACAAGTAGAAGGCAGGGGTCGAGAAGGAGGGAAGGGGAGGAAGAGAGGAGAAAAGAGAGAGGAGAAGGGGGGAGAGGGAGAGAGGAGGAAGAGAGGAGGATGAGAAGAGAAGGGGGAGAGAGGAAGAAGGATAGAGGAGGGAGGAAAGGAGGAGGGAGAAGTAAAAAGAGAGAGAGGAAGAAGAAAGGAGAGTGAGGAGAAGGAGAAAAGGAGATAGGGGGGGAAGAGTAGGAGGAGAGGAGCGAGGGGGAGGAGAAAGGAAAGAGGGAAGAAGAAGGGAGAGGAAAGAGGGGAGAAGAAGAGAGCAGGCAGAGGAGAGGAAGGAAGGAGAGGAGGAGGCAGAGGGAGGGAAGAGAGAAAAGGTAAGGGGAGAGAAGGAGAGAGAGGGGCAGAAGGAGGGAAGAGAGGAGAGAAAAGAGGGAGGAGAGAGGAGGAGAAAGGAAGGAAGGGGGGGGAGGAAGAGAGAGGAGAGAGAGGAGAACGAGGAGAGAAGGAAAGGGAAAGGGGGAGGGAGCAGAAGAGAAAGAATGGAAGAGAGGGGAGAGAGAGAAGAAGAGAAGAGAGGGAAAAGGAGAGTGAGGGAGAAGAAAAGGGATGGAGAAGAGGAGACGGAGAGGAGAAAAGGGGAAGAAAAGGGAGAGGAAGAGGAAGAGGGAGGGGAGGAGGGAAGAGGAGAGAGAGAAGAGGAAGAGAAAGAGAGAAAGGAGGATAGAGGTGAGAGAGGAGAGAGGAAGAAGGAGAGAGAGAGGAGAGAGAGGAAGGAAGAGAGGAGGAGAAGAAGAGAGAAGGAAGAAAGAGGAGGGAAAGAGGAAGGGAGAGAGGATAGGGAGAGGAGAGGAGGAGGAAAGAAGGGAGAGGAGGAGGAGAGGAGAGAGGGGAGAAGAAGAAGAGAAGAAGGGAGAGAGGAGAAGAGAAGAAGAGAGGGAGTAGAAGAAAGGAGAGAGAGGGAGAGAAAGAGAAGAGGGGAGAGAAGGGGAGGTGAGGAGAAGGGAGGAGAGAGGAGAGAAGGGAGGGAGAAACGAGCGGAGAGAGGGAGAGAGATGGAGAAGGGGGGAGGCGGAGAAGAGAGGGGAGAGAAAAGGAGAAGGGAGGAAGGAGAGGAGGAGGAGAGAGGAGGAGGAAAGAGGGGGGAGAGAGGAAGAGCAGGATGGGAAAGGAGAGAGGGGGAAGGGAAGAGAGGAGAGAGAGAAGGAAGGGGGGAATAGAAGGGAGAAGAGAGAGGAGAGAAGGGGGTAGGAGAGAAGGTGGATGGACAGATGAAGAGGAGAGAGGAGAGAGGAGAGGGGAGAAGAGATAGGAGGGAGAGAGGTGAGAGAGGAGAAGGAGAGAGAGATAGAGGAGAAAGAGAAGAAGAGAGAGAGGAGAGAAGAAGGAGAGAGGGCGGATGAGAGGAGACGAGAGGGGAGAGGAAGAGAGAAGGAGAGGAGGAGAGAGGAGGAAGAGGAGAGGAGAGGGGAAGAGAGAGGAGAGAGGGGGAGGAGAGAGGGAAAAAAGGAATGAGAGGGAGGAGAGAGAGAGGAGATGGGCGAGAAATGGGGAAGAGGAGAAGAGGAGGGAAAAAGGGGAGGTGGGAGGAAGGGAGAGGAAAGGGGAGAGCGAGCGGAGGGGGGAGACGAGACGAGAGGCGTAGAAGGAGGGGCGAAGAAAGAGCAGTGAGAGAGGGGAGTGAGAGAGAAAGACGGGATGGAGGCAGGAGGAGGAGAGGGGGTCGGGACGCATGGCGCGGGGAGGACAGGAGTGGGTGAGAAGGGAGAAGTACGGAACGAGGGGGAGGAGGAGGAGGCTAAGAGGGAGGGAGAGGAGGGGGAGAGAGAGAGTAGGCGGAGATAAGAGGAGAGAGCGGGAGGTGAGGAGGCAGAGAGGGAGCAAAAGAGAGGGAGGGAAGAGGAGCGGAGGAGCGGAGAAAATGCGGGACAAAGGGGAGGCGGAGGAGAGGGGCGAGGGGAGGAGAGAGCGGAAGAGGGAGGAGGGGGAGGAGAGGGGAGAGAGAGGAGAGAGGGAGAGGGGAGAGGAGGAGGGGGAGGAGGGAGGCGGGATGGGAGGAGGGAGGAGGGAGGGGAGGAGAGGAGGGAGGAGGGGAGAGGAGGGAGGAGGGGGAGAGGGAGAGAGGGGAGAGGAGGAGAGGGGAGAGAGGGAGAGGAGAGGAGGAGAGGGGGAGAGGCGAGAGGGGAGGGAGGAGAGGGGAGAGAGGAGAGAGGAGAGAGGGGAGAGGAGGGAGGGGAGAGAGGGGAGAGAGGAGAGAGGAGAGAGGGGAGGAGAGAGGGGAGAGGAGAGGAGGGGAGAGAGGGGAGAGGAGAGAGGGGAGAGGAGGGGAGGGGAGAGGAGAGAGGGGGAGAGAGGAGAGGAGGAGAGGAGGGAGAGGAGGAGAGAGGAGAGAGGAGAGAGGGGAGAGGAGGGAGGGGAGAGGAGGGAGGAGGAGAGGAGGAGAGAGGAGAGAGGGGAGAGAGGAGGAGGAGAGAGGGAGAGGGGAGAGGAGGAGAGGGAGAGGGAGAGGGGAGAGAGGAGGGGAGGGGAGAGAGGGAGGAGAGGAGAGGGGAGGAGGAGAGAGGGAGAGAGGAGAGAGGAGAGAGGAGAGAGGAGGGAGGGGGAGAAAGGGAGAGGAGAGAGGGAGAGAGGAGAGAGGAGAGGGGAGGGAGGGAAGGGGAGAGAGGAGAGAGGAGGGAGGGGAGAAAGGGGAGAGGAGAGAGGGGGAGAGGAGAGAGGAGGGAGGGGAGAAAGGGGAGAGGAGAGATGGGAGAGAGGAGAGAAGGGAGAGGAGAGAGGGGAGAGGAGAGAAAGGGGAGAGGAGAGAGGGGAGAGAGGAGAGAGGGGGAGAGGAGAGAGGGGAGAGGAGAGAAAGGGGAGAGGAGAGAGGGGAGAGGAGAGAGAGAGGGAGAGAGGAGAGAAAGGGGAGAGGAGAGAGGGGAGAGAGGAGAGAGGAGAGAGGAGGGAGGGGAGAAAGGGGAGAGGAGAGATGGGAGAGAGGAGAGAGGGGAGAGGAGAGAGGGGAGAGGAGAGAAAGGGGAGAGGAGAGAGGGGAGAGGAGAGAGGGGAGAGGAGAGAAAGGGGAGAGGAGAGAGGGGAGAGGAGAGAGGAGAGAGGGGAGAGGAGAGAGGAGAGAGGAGAGAGGAGAGAGGGGAGAGGGGAGAGAGATGGAAGGGGGGAGAGAAACGTGGTGATATATTGGTGTGAAGGAGCCTGATATTAGGTACAGTCATTATTTATCATCACATATTTGTTACTATTGCACAAAGTCAGTGCATTTACAAAAATAAATAATGAAAATGAATTATTGAAACGTATTTTCTTTAATTGTTCATTTCTAATATCCTTTAGCGAGCTACCTGGAAGGGGGTGGTGAGCTACTGGTGGCTCCTTAACTACAGGTTGGAGACCCCTGCTTTACCCCGTTGGAACAAAACCTCCAAAAAACTATAAAAAGTCACTCTCCGCCATTTTGTAAATCGCCAAATCATCGAAACCCATGAACCTCCGGTGAAGTTCGCAGCCCTCTCTCACATTCACACTCACACTCAGTCACCACAGTTGTTTTTTCTTTTTGTTTTTAAGACAATAATAAGTTCTCGGGGTCAGATTGGCACAGCGGCCGCTACAATCAAAGCAGCCAGTGCGGAAAGTAGCCAGCGGCAGAATGGAAATTACAGTACGCGTCGTTGTCATTGCTTGGCACTTGTTTTTTTCGACATCGACTCCCAGTGTCCCCGGCTGAAGTATTGAACCGTTGCACATGTCCAAAATTTGGCACGGACGGCCTGGAGTTTGGTGGTTTTTTTTCTTCATTTGATCAGTTTATTTGGTACAGTCCTAGTGATGACGGGAAAGTGGGACAACCCTGCCTCGTACCTCGTCTCAAAAAAATGCAGCTCGGACTTGATCAGGAAGTTAAAAAACCTGTAAAAGTGGATTTTTTTTGCTGGTATCTTGCAGCCGGTATCTCTCCGACCGCGTTTGTTTCAGTCTATAGCCTCCATTTTGTGTCCACAGTTTATCTCAAGCCCTTAACAGTAGAAGGGCAGGCGTGTAGAAAATAAAAAAAGACAGAAAGAGAGAGAGAGAGAGAGAAACAAAATTGTAATAACTAAAGTGCTAAGGCAAACTGATAAAAGGGTGCCGTGGAGTTGGAGTGAGTTGAATACATATGACGCATTAGCAAAACACTTTTATCTCAGCTTTGTCCTGCAGTTCTGAACAAAAGTAATACCTTGGAGCGGCAGCAGAGGGCGCCCTAGCTGCTGTTTTCACCCAGCCGTGTTGTTGCTGTCTTCCAATGGCTTTGGTCTTTGATGAAGGTGGAAATGGGAGACTAAAAACATCCTCGTGAGAATGTACGGATCCTGTGTGGCCGTTTCAAATTCAAGTATGTGTTTTTAAAGCTGGGGGGTCAAACTGGATTAAAGCTGGGGTACAAAACTTTCACAACAACAACAAAAACGATGCATTCCTTGCTCTCAAAAGGAGCTTGGTTCTGTCACTCATTTGTGTTTATATGTTATTTTAGCCTCTGTCACAGTTTTTGATCAAATTTTTCAGACAGAGAACTGGTAAAGAGAGGTCAGCCAATCAGCTCTCAGCCCAAAGGGTCAAATAGTGACTCACAGGGATCTTTCTCACACAAAGGCAAAAGAAAATTAGACAGATTTTTATCTATGAAGCAACTGTTGAGGTCGGATTTGTTTGCAATATTTTACTAACACAAGAGAGGAGAGGAGAGAAAAGAGAGGAAAGAGAGGAGAGAGAGAGGAGGGGGAGAGAGGAGAGACAAGGGAGACGAGAGAGAGGAGAGAGAGAGGAGAGAGAAGAGAGGAAAGAGAGGAGAGAGAGGAGGAGAGGAGAGAGAGGAGGGAGGAGAGGACAATATTCATTTGTCTGCTGTAGTGAGAAAACTCTGTAGTAAGGGTATGTCTGTATGTAGTTAATAATTTTGCAGTGTGTAACTTAGGTACCCCAGCTTTAAAACAAATTGCAGCCGGGTGCATTGACAAACAGCAGTAGAATCGTTTACCACCGGTTCAGTTCTTTGAGGTAAATCCACGGATATCAGTAAATAAACATTTGCTACGTCGACAGCTCCTGCATAGCTCGACCTCCATCTGCAGTGGTCTTAAATAAACGCAATTCAAAAAGACTAAAACCGTCCCGGGAAGTCGCAAAAGTGTCACCGACTTTCTCCAAACAGGAAGACGACGGCCATTTTAGATTGTAGAGCTCCTTCAAGAGAAAAAAGTCTAATAAAAAGGGATTTTTGGCGGGAAGTAAAATCCTCCGGCTCAGTCTTCAGTCTTGTCTCCAGTGCAACAACAACAAGACTCTCACAAAGGTCGCATCCCAATTCATGAGACCTCGCTCCTTCCTTATGCTTCCTAGACTTTGATAATGGACTTTTGATAAAACGCAATATTTTTGTTCATTTTGGGTCTGAGTGTGATCTTGAGAAAATGTACTTTGCCATTTCAAGTTTTATAATGTGAACATATTAGATGGCGGTCTAGTGGTAGAAGTGCGTTTTTTTATTTTTTACATTGAAATCCAGTATGGCGTGGTCTAAATAAAGGCACGTGTTATTTGAGTGATGAATTTGGAGGCAATACTTTTATGATAAAGATGCATTATTTTTGGAAATTAAAAATAAGAAAATTACATGTTTAAAAATATAGCTGAAAAATATATGGTGTATCAAGAGTACACAATGCTATCTGCCTGCTCTATCTCTGTGCAACCACCAGGGGGAGATGTAGAATCAGTTTTACTACTTTTTGGACAATACTTTAGTCTAGAGTGTGACGTAATAGTGGTACAATGACGTCACACTATCACCTGACTAAGACACAGACACAGGTGAAACTACATACTCCTGATATTGGCGTGGATAGATCTAAAAACACTTCCAGGTCTGTTTTTAAAAAGGAACAATGTAAAAAGTGCAACTGTCTGATTTGTTCTGATGACTTGCTAGTTTTGATACTTTTAATACAACTAAATGCAACTGAATTTACCGCAAAAGTACAAACGAAAGAGCAAAATCTTGACGAAGGAAGGATAAGGAAGGATGTATCTCTGTATGAATTGGATGCAGCCTTTTGGAAGTCCTCCGAAAGTTCAAAAACAGGATAAAAATTGGGCAAACGAGTGCTATGTTCCTATTTTAAACAACCCCGAGACGCCTTCTTTCTCCGTCTCGTCCAAACCAAACGTCCGTCCGCTCTCCGCCTCCTCGGCCTCGGTGTCCGACTCGCCCTCCTCCTCCTCCAGCGTCAGCTCAAACTGGAACTTGTCCGCGGAGCAGCCGGGCGCCGAGGAGAGGGAGGAGGGGTGAGGCTCTGGGGAGGTGCCCTGGGCGGGGCAGTCCGGCTGGGGGGAGGGACTGTGGGGGATCATGCTCTGGTACCACTCCCTGTTGTCCTCCAGAGTGTCCAGGATCTCCTGAGCGTCCGGGTGCACTAGGTCTGCCCACGTCTCCCACAGCGGGTGCACGATGTAGTCGATGAAGCCCACCTGAGGAGAGAGGGAGGGGGAGGAGGGAGGACGGAGGAGGGAGGAGAGAGAGGAGAGATGGGAGAGGAGAGAGAGGAGAGAGAGGAGGAAGGGGAGAGGAGAGATGGGAGAGGAGAGAGGGGAGAGATGGGAGAGGAGAGATGGGAGAGGAGAGAGGGGAGAGGAGAGAGGAGAGAGATAGGAGAGGAGAGAGGGGAGAGGGGAGAGGGGAGAGAGGACAGAGGAGGAGATTGGAGAGGAGAGAGATGGAAGAGGAGAGAGGAGAGAGGGGATAGGGGAGAGATAGGAGAGGAGAGAGGGGAGAGGAGAGAGAGGAGAGAGGGGAGATGGGAGAGGAGAGGAGAGATGGAAGAGGAGAGATGGGAGAGGAGAGAGGAGAGATGGGAGAGGAGAGAGATGGAAGAGGACAGAGGAGAGAGGGGAGAGGAGGGAGATGAGAGAGGGGATAGGAGAGAGATAGGAGAGGAGAGAGCAGAGATGGAAGAGGAGAGAGGGGATAGGGGAGAGAGGAGAGAGGAGAGAGGGGAGAGGAGAGAGGAGAGATGGAAGAGGAGAGAGGGGATAGGGGAGAGAGGAGAGAGGAGAGAGGGGAGAGGAGAGAGGAGAGATGGAAGAGGAGAGAGGGGATAGGGGAGAGAGGGGAGAGGAGAGAGGAGAGAGGGGAGAAGAGAGAGGAGAGAGGGGAGAGGAGAGATGGGATAGGAGAGAGATAGGAGAGGAGAGAGGAGAGATGGAAGAGGAGAGAGGGGATAGGGGAGAGAGGAGAGAAGAGAGAGGAGAGGGGGGAGAGAGGAGGGGGGAGAGAGGAGAGAGAAGTCAGGTTAGTGTACAAACTTGCACCAAAAAGACAACACAGACAGGAAAACAGGGTACAACAGTAAAGCACAATACATAACCTGGGTCTACAGCCTCAGTCCTGGGTCTACAGGCTCAGTCCTGGGTCTACAGCCTCAGTCCTGGGTCTACAGGCTCAGTCCTGGGTCTACAGCCTCAGTCCTGGGTCTACAGCCTCAGTCCTGGGTCTACAGCCTCAGTCCTGGGTCTACAGGCTCAGTCCTGGGTCTACAGCCTCAGTCCTGGGTCTACAGCCTCAGTCCTGGGTCTACAGCCTCAGTCCTGGGTCTACAGCCTCAGTCCTGGATCTACAGCCTCAGTCCTGGATCTACAGCCTCAGTCCTGGATCTACAGCCTCAGTCCTGGGTCTACAGCCTCAGTCCTGGGTCTACAGCCTCAGTCCTGGGTCTACAGCCTCAGTCCTGGGTCTACAGCCTCAGTCCTGGGTCTACAGCCTCAGTCCTGGGTCTACAGCCTCAGCCCTGGATCTACAGCCTCAGTCCTGGGTCTACAGCCTCAGTCTGTGTATGTAAAGTATATGGTATGTGAGTGTTGCTGGTGCTGGTACCTGGTTCTTCTCGATGGAGGCGTTGTGTTTGTCACACATGGGGCTGACCTCCATCCCCTTGTCCCGCTCACGGTCTCCCTGAGTGAAGAACTCCACCATGATGCGGTCGGTCCACTGTCGGTACAGCTCCAGGGGTTTGGTAGGATTACTGAGGTCTGCACAGTGCACCATGTTCTGCAGGACCTGTCTCACACACACACACACACACACACAGATACACACACACACACACACACACACACACACACACACACACACACACACACACACACACACACACACACACACACACACACACACACACACACACACACACACACACACACACACACACACACACACACACACACACACACACACAGATACACACACACACACACACACACAGATACAGACACACACACACACAGATACAGGCACACACACACACACAGATACAGACACACACACACACTGTTAAGAAGAGGACAGTTCTGTGACATATATTTCTCGGTCTACAAGTCCATTTACTGTCATTCATTTTACATTTACGATAGGAGCCCTGATCTTTCAGCGGGGGCTTCAGGCAAAGTGGGGTTAAGTGTCTTGCAGCGGAAGAGCAGAGGAAGAGCAGAGGAGGAGCAGAGGAGGAGCAGAGGAGGGGCAGAGGAGGGGCAGAGGAAGAGCTGAGGAGGAGCAGCAGAAGAGCAGAGGAGGAGGAGCAGAGGAAGAGCAGAGGAGGAGCAGCATAAGAGCAGAGGAAGGGAAGAGGTGGAGCAGAGGAAGAGCAGAGGAGGAGCAGCAGAAGAGCAGAGGAAGGGCAGAGGAGGAGCAGAGGAAGAGCAGAGGAGGACCAGAGGAGGACCAGAGGAAGAGCAGAGGAGGAGCAGCAGAAGAGCAGAGGAAGGGCAGAGGAGGAGCAGAGGAAGAGCAGCAGAAGAGCAGAGGAGGAGCAGAGGTGGAGCAGGAGGGGCAGAGGAAGAGCAAAGGAGGGGCAGAGGTGGAGCAGCGGAAGAGCAGAGGAAGGGCAGAGGAGGAGCAGAGGAAGAGCAGAGGATGAGCGAGGAGGAGCAGCAGAAGAGCAGAGGAGGAGCAGAGGTGGAGCAGGAGGGGCTGAGGAAGAGCAAAGGAGGGGCAGAGGTGGAGCAGCGGAAGAGCAGAGGAAGGGCAGAGGAGGAGCAGAGGAAGAGCAGAGGATGAGCGAGGAGGAGCAGCAGAAGAGCAGAGGAGGAGCAGAGGTGGAGCAGGAGGGGCTGAGGAAGAGCAAAGGAGGGGCAGAGGTGGAGCAGCGGAAGAGCAGAGGAGGAGCAGAGGTGGAGCAGCGGAAGAGCAGAGGAGGAGCAGAGGTGGAGCAGCGGTAGAGCAGAGGAGGAGCAGAGGTGGAGCAGCGGAAGAGCAGAGGAGGAGCAGAGGTGGAGCAGCGGAAGAGCAGAGGATGGGCAGAGGAGGAGCAGAGGAAGAGCAGAGGAAGAGCAGAGGAGGAGCAGCAGAAGAGCAGAGGAGGAGCAGAGGTGGAGCAGGAGGGGCAGAGGAAGAGCAAAGGAGGGGCAGAGGTGGAGCAGCGGAAGAGCAGAGGAGGAGCAGAGGTGGAGCAGAGGAGGAGCGAAGGAGGAGCAGAGGTGGAGCAGCGGAAGAGCAGAGGAGGAGCAGAGGTGGAGCAGCGGAAGAGCAGAGGAGGAGCAGAGGTGGAGCAGAGGAGGAGCAAAGGAAGAGCAGAGGAGGGGCAGAGGAGGGGCAGAGAAGGGGCAGAGGAGGGGCAGAGGAAGAACAGAGGAAGAGCAGAGGAGGAGCAGCGGAAGAGCAGAGGAGGAGCAGAGGAGGGGCAGCGGAAGAGCAGAGGAGGGGCAGAGGAGCACAGACCTGGATGCGGTCGGAGTAGTTGTCCAGCAGCAGAACTCCCAGACTGGTCACTTTCTTGGTCTCCACCATCGTCTTGAGATCAGCCAAAAGGTTCATATGTTTGGACATATCTGTGGCCAGGACCTGGACACACGACACACGCAATATTCACACTTTAGTCTGAGAGAACTGGGACTAGTCTGAGAGAACTGGGACTAGTCTGAGAGAACTGGGACTAGTCTGAGAGAACTGGGACTAGTCTGAGAGAACTGAGACTAGTCTGAGAGAACTGGGACTAGTCTGAGAGAACTGGGACTAGTCTGAGAGAACTTGAGACTAGTCTGAGAGAACTGAGACTAGTCTGAGAGAACTGGGACTAGTCTGAGAGAACTGGGACAAGTCTGAGAGAACTGGGACTAGTCTGAGAGAACTGAGACTAGTCTGAGAGAACTGGGACTAGTCTGAGAGAACTGGGACTAGTCTGAGAGAACTGGGACAAGTCTGAGAGAACTGGGACTAGTCTGAGAGAACTGAGACTAGTCTGAGAGAACTGGGACTAGTCTGAGAGAACTGGGACTAGTCTGAGAAAACTGGGACTAGTCTGAGAGAACTTGGGACTAGTCTGAGAGAACTGGGACTAGTCTGAGAGAACTGGGACTAGTCTGAGAGAACTGGGACTAGTCTGAGAGAACTGGGACTAGTCTGAGAGAACTGGGACTAGTCTGAGAGAACTGAGACTAGTCTGAGAGAACTGGGACTAGTCTGAGAGAACTTGAGACTAGTCTGAGAGAACTGAGACTAGTCTGAGAGAACTGAGACTAGTCTGAGAGAACTGGGACTAGTCTGAGAGAACTGGGACAAGTCTGAGAGAACTGGGACTAGTCTGAGAGAACTGGGACTAGTCTGAGAGAACTGGGACTAGTCTGAGAGAACTGGGACTAGTCTGAGAGAACTGGGACTAGTCTGAGAGAACTGGGACTAGTCTGAGAGAACTGGGACTAGTCTGAGAGAACTGGGACTAGTCTGAGAGAACTGGGACTAGTCTGAGAGAACTGGGACTAGTCTGAGAGAACTGGGACTAGTCTGAGAGAACTGAGACTAGTCTGAGAGAACTGGGACTAGTCTGAGAGAACTTGAGACTAGTCCTGAGAGAACTGAGACTAGTCTGAGAGAACTGGGACTAGTCTGAGAGAACTGGGACAAGTCTGAGAGAACTGGGACTAGTCTGAGAGAACTGAGACTAGTCTGAGAGAACTGAGACTAGTCTGAGAGAACTGGGACTAGGCTGAGAGAACTGGAACTAGTCTGAGAGAACTGGGACTAGTCTGAGAGAACTGGGACTAGTCTGAGAGAACTGGGACTAGGCTGAGAGAACTGGGACTAGTCTGAGAGAACTGGGACTAGTCTGAGAGAACTGGGACTAGTCTGAGAGAACTGGGACTAGTCTGAGAGAACTTGGGACTAGTCTGAGAGAACTGGGACTAGTCTGAGATAACTAGGACTAGTCTGAGAGAACTAGGACTAGTCTGAGAGAACTGGGACTAGTCTGAGAGAACTGGGACTAGTCTGAGAGAACTTGGGACTAGTCTGAGAGAACTGGGACTAGTCTGAGATAACTAGGACTAGTCTGAGAGAACTAGGACTAGTCTGAGAGAACTGGGACTAGTCTGAGAGAACTGGAACTAGTCTGAGAGAACTGGGACTAGTCTGAGAGAACTGGGACTAGTCTGAGAGAACTGGGACTAGTCTGAGAGAACTGGGACTAGTCTGAGAGAACTGAGACTAGTCTGAGAGAACTGGGACTAGTCTGAGAGAACTGGGACTAGTCTGAGAGAACTGGGACTAGTCTGAGAGAACTGGGACTAGTCTGAGAGAACTGGGACTAGTCTGAGAGAACTGGGACTAGTCTGAGAGAACTGGGACTAGTCTGAGAGAACTGGGACTAGTCTGAGAAAACTGGGACTAGTCTGAGAGAACTGGGACTAGGCTGAGAGAACTGGGACTAGTCGGGGGGCACATGGAGTTGTTTGAGGACGGGGGTGATGTGTTCTCTGGAGCAGGTGGGCGGCAGAGTGTTTTGGATGGCATTTTTTCCCAATACTGAATGTTTCCCATAGAAATGCGAAACAAATTTGGCTCCGGACCCGTTAGCTTTAGCCGCATTAGCATCGCGCTCGTACCATGTCGATGACCATTTTGCGCAGAGACTGTCGCTGCTTCTTGCTGAGGTTCTGGAAGATGTCGCAGTTTTCCTCCTGCAGCAGTTTGAAGCCCACGGCCAAATGGTGGTTCTCCAGGACCGAGGAGTCGTTGTACATCAGCGCCAGCTCCGAGTCTGCAACCACAGCACACACTTTCACTCAGACGTGGCAGCCCAGGAAAGGCAGGCTTATTTGTATTGCACAGTTCATACACAAGGCTTAATAAAACAAGATAAAAACAATACAAAATCATAAATAATCACAGTATATTAAAAAGAGTGAATTTAAAGTCCCAGAAACTGTTTTTAACCTGGATTTGAATATTGTCAGAGAAGATGCCTGTCTCACATTTTCAGGAAGACTGTTCTAGATTTTAGCTGCATGACTCTGAAATGAAGGCAGTATGTGTCTTAGTTATCTGTATATTGTAGTAAGTCAAACCGTAAATTCAGATTTTTTTTTAAAGAACACAGCACCAGTGTCAGATTTATTTTATCTATACCAGCGGGGGTGGGTCCCAACTCAAAAATGTCCAAAATGACGTGCTGCAATACCACCCCGGGCCTGTGGGGGTGGACCCAGATTAAGAATTATTCAATGCTAATGAGTAGCATCTTCTGACCTCTCGCAAACGGGTTTACAGGATGGTCCAAAAGAGACCTGAGAGAGACCAGAGAGAGACCAGAGAGAGACCAGAGAGAGAGACCAGAGAGAGAGAGACCAGAGAGAGATCAGAGAGAGACCTGAGAGAGACCAGAGAGAGACCATAGAGAGACCATAGAGAGACCATAGAGAGACCACTAGATCGTAGCTGCATGAATCTGAAATGAAGGCAGCATGTGTCTTAGTTATCTGTATATTGTAATAAGTCAAACAGTAAATTCAGACTTTTTTTTTTAGAACCAATGCCATACAGATTTAGTGCATTTTCTGCCCATTGCCAATTTCCAACCATCATAATCGATCATGTATTTTAATGATATACTAAAATTAACTTCTAAGAGGAAGACTGTTGTAAAAAAAAGTTGAGATGGAGAACTGACTGGTGTTGATGAGGAACTGGTTGGAGACTCCAGGATGGTCCACGTCGTGAATGGCGCTGGCGAACAGAGCGGCGAGGATCTCCAGGTCCGTGAACACAGCCTGAGGCACATCAGGGCGTCACATTTAATCGTATGGTACTTTTCACACAGAGAGCCACAAAGACGATTTACAGTGATGTGTGTTCTTCTTCCCGATAAACAACACCAACTATTCACGGTTTGGGCGATTGGGGAAAGACAGGGATCCATTCAGACCTCTGAAGCTAAGCAGGGCAGGGCCTGGTTAGTGCTGTGATGGGAGACCTCTGAGACAACAACAGGTGGTGGGGCGGCTGCGGCTGTAAAGTACCAAACCGCGGCTGCGTCCTTAGGCAGGACATTTCCCCCACATTAGAATGAGTCTGGTGTGTGTGTGAATGGTTGGTGGTGGTGGGAGGGGCCGATGGCACAGACTGGTTGCCTCGGTTCTGTCAGTGTGCCCCAGGGCAGCTGTGGCTAAAATAATGATAGAACTAAACTGATCTGAAAGCGAGGAACTAGAGAGACAGATGTCATTATGCAGATACATTAGTTGTGGTCTGAAAGGTGCAGACAGAGGTGCAGAGCCAGTCAGAGTTAGTTAGAGTTAGAGATAGTTAGAGTTACCTCCAGAGCGGGCGTAGACAGCAGCACATGAGTCAGTCAGAGTTAGTTAGAGTTAGAGATAGTTAGAGTTATAGTTAGAGTTACCTCCAGAGCGGGCGTAGACAGCAGCACATGAGTCAGTCAGAGTTAGTTAGAGTTAGAGATAGTTAGAGTTATAGTTAGAGTTACCTCCAGAGCGGGCGTAGACAGCAGCACATGAGTCAGTCAGAGTTAGTTAGAGTTAGAGATAGTTAGAGTTATAGTTAGAGTTACCTCCAGAGCGGGCGTAGACAGCAGCACATGAGTCAGTCAGAGTTAGTTAGAGTTAAAGTTAGAGTTATAGTTAGAGTTACCTCCAGAGCGGGCGTAGACAGCAGCACATGAGTCAGTCAGAGTTAGTTAGAGTTAAAGTTAGAGTTTTAGTTAGAGTTACCTCCAGAGCGGGCGTAGACAGCAGCACATGAGTCAGTCAGAGTTAGTTAGAGTTAAAGTTAGAGTTATAGTTAGAGTTACCTCCAGAGCGGGCGTAGACAGCAGCACATGAGTCAGTCAGAGTTAGTTAGAGTTAGAGATAGTTAGAGTTATAGTTAGAGTTACCTCCAGAGCGGGCGTAGACAGCAGCACATGAGTCAGTCAGAGTTAGTTAGAGTTAGAGATAGTTAGAGTTATAGTTAGAGTTACCTCCAGAGCGGGCGTAGACAGCAGCACATGAGTCAGTCAGAGTTAGTTAGAGTTAAAGTTAGAGTTATAGTTAGAGTTACCTCCAGAGCGGGCGTAGACAGCAGCACATGAGTCAGTCAGAGTTAGTTAGAGTTAGAGATAGTTAGAGTTATAGTTAGAGTTACCTCCAGAGCGGGCGTAGACAGCAGCACATGAGTCATCGAGTCAGTCAGAGTTAGTTAGAGTTAAAGTTAGAGTTAAGTTAGAGTTACCTCCAGAGCGGGCGTAGACAGCAGCACATGAGTCAGTCAGAGTTAGTTAGAGTTAAAGTTAGAGTTTTAGTTAGAGTTACCTCCAGAGCGGGCGTAGACAGCAGCACATGAGTCAGTCAGAGTTAGTTAGAGTTAAAGTTAGAGTTATAGTTAGAGTTACCTCCAGAGCGGGCGTAGACAGCAGCACATGAGTCAGTCAGAGTTAGTTAGAGTTAGAGATAGTTAGAGTTATAGTTAGAGTTACCTCCAGAGCGGGCGTAGACAGCAGCACATGAGTCAGTCAGAGTTAGTTAGAGTTAAAGTTAGAGTTATAGTTAGAGTTACCTCCAGAGCGGGCGTAGACAGCAGCACATGAGTCAGTCAGAGTTAGTTAGAGTTAGAGATAGTTAGAGTTATAGTTAGAGTTACCTCCAGAGCGGGCGTAGACAGGAGCACATGAGTCAGTCAGAGTTAGTTAGAGTTAGAGATAGTTAGAGTTATAGTTAGAGTTACCTCCAGAGCGGGCGTAGACAGGAGCACATGAGTGGACTGAACCACGTCTGCTGCGTGGATGTTGTTGTGGTAGGCCACGTCTGCGTGATAGTGCTCCTCTAACGTCATCATGAAGGTGATGAAGGTGTCGGCCGGGATCTTAAAGTTCTTCAGCAGGTCTCGCTCCTAAAGAACAACACTGCATCAGTGTCACATTTATTTATATAACACATTTACGACAACAGCAGCTGCAGAGAGGACTCTTTCTGGGTCTCAGCGTCACAGACAAGAGTAAATATTTCCATCGAGCAACATGGAAATGTCAAACTCAGGTCCATGGAACCAATTTGGACCCAAGACTATATAGAATTTACAGAAGATGATCACACAAAGCGCTTTATAATTGTTCAGAGTTGAGATAGTTATTTCGTTCTCTCTACACGGTGATGTTGAAGCGAGTCGCCAAACACACATGTTTGTGCATGTTTTTAGTGGTAGGGGAAACTCCACTCAGAAGCGCCCTTGTCTGACAGGGATTCGAACCCAGGATCTTCTTTCTGAGAAGCGAGAGTGCTAACCACTCACACACGATACACGATGTTAAACATTAGCCAATGCTAATGTATATCTTCTCACCTCTGGAAAACGTCTTTACCGGATGGTCCAAAAGTCGCTGCTGACGGGAGTGTATTTTATTGGACCAGTCTAGTTTAGCCGCTGTGGATTTGTGAAGGCATTCATTAAATGAATGGGTCTAGTGACGCATATGCAAATGCATTTTCACATTTTGAAAAGCCCCATAGACGGCGAAGGTGGTGGCACATTATTTTGTACGGTGGAGATAGGCGTGACTACGTCCATTTACATTTACAGTCTATGATAACATCTGTATCTGTTTTCTGTAAAGCCCTGTCTGACTAATGTGAGAGAAACCCTGCCTGTCCCACTGCCTTCACTACAGCAGGAGGTGAAACAGGTTCAAAAGGCACAGACCTGGAAGATCGTGTACATGGTGACCGTGAGTGGGCGGGACCCGGAGTACTCGGATACTTTGAAGATGTCGACGCCCCATCTGTTCACGTCCTCCAGCTCCTGTTTAAACACAGATTCAGATTCAGTTTGTTTGCAGTAAAACCACATTGGAATACACGTGCAAGAGTCCCCAGTGTGCAGCAGACAAGTACAGGAATATAACAAGCTAAAATGTACAGAGGGAAGAAGCTGGAACATGGCTTTTCCAGGGGCCAAGAGAGTCATTGATTATTCTAAGAGCTGGACTTAAAGCTGCACTAACTGACTTTGGGATTTTGAAGCCACGGACACGCTGGCCTCGCTCTTTCTCCTCCCCCCCCCACACCCACAAAGCTATCGCCCCCCGCTACCCCACACCCACTGTTGTTTACGGAGCTAGCGTCTCCCAATATGGATAGAATCATGTGTGGTACATTTGAGCGTGGATGGCGTGACCATAGAATGATAGAACCGGGAAGCGCGGAGGAACGGGACTTTCTTTTGGATGGCTGTTTCGCTGAGTAAGCAGTAACCGGTGACGAAGACAAGGGAGCTTCAGGTTTTGTTGTGCTAACTCAACTGTCTATGCTAACAACGGACCTGTAGATTTCTCACGAAAGTGGGGGCCAGTGGTCCGCTGTGATTGATCACAATCTGGTCCCGAAAAACATTCTCTTCCTTGTTTCATCAAAACTCGATCTAAAATATAATGTCACGCCAGCACAACCCTGCGCTACTGTTTTAACAAAAGGGCATTTATCCCAATGCACTGCATGGACATGGATAGCACTTTCGTAAAGAATACAAAATAAAGTCAGTTAGTGCAGCTTTAAGATTCTGGATTCATAAAAAACCTCCAGAACAGACAGCTTTCAGAGCGGAGCACCTCTCTCTGGTCTCTCTCTGGTCTCTCTCTGGTCTCTCTCTGGTCTCTCTCTGGTCTCTCTCTGGTCTCTCTCTGGTCTCTCTCTGGTCTCTCTCTGGTCTCTCTCTGGTCTCTCTCTGGTCTCTCTCTGGTCTCTCTCTGGTCTCTCTCTAGTCTCTCTCTGGTCTCTCTCTGGTCTCTCTCTGGTCTCTCTCTGGTCTCTCTCTGGTCTCTCTCTGGTCTCTCTCTGGTCTCTCTCTGGTCTCTCTCTAGTCTCTCTCTGGTCTCTCTCTGGTCTCTCTCTGGTCTCTCTCTGGTCTCTCTCTGGTCTCTCTCTGGTCTCTCTCTGGTCTCTCTCTAGTCTCTCTCTGGTCTCTCTCTGGTCTCTCTCTGGTCTCTCTCTGGTCTCTCTCTGGTCTCTCTGGGGTCTCTCTGGTCTCTCTCTGGTCTCTCTCTGGTCTCTCTCTAGTCCAGGGGTGCTCACACTTTTCCAGCATGCGAGCTACTTATAAAAGGATCAAGTCAAAATGATCTACCTACTACAAAAACGCAAATCATATATTTCAAAAAATATTCTTTATATCTACAATGTATGTTTATGTACATGCAAAACCGCATGAGCCAATATAGCACAACACAACACAATTACCTATGTACATTTTTTGTCATTACCCGAGTTTACTCTTATGACTTGCACCGAATTGAATCGGCCAGGGATGCATAGTCCGGAAAATTGGTGGTAACTCGCTGACAAGTTTGTCGTGGTTTAGCTTTCCTGCACTGAGCGCGGTTGTTTGCGCATGTGCAGTCACCTAAGTGTCAGTAAAACATTACTGAGTAAAACACAGATGTCATTTGACTGTGGTGCCATGTCCATGTGCCATGCCTGGTTTTTTTAAATACAAATATTTCCCCTCCTCCGTTTATAAAATAATTTGCATCCACACATCTGCGTTATCAATCACATTCGTAACATTCCAAACATGTGCGTCTCTTACGTCCTGTCCTGCGCTGGGGAAAAACACAGAAGTGGGCGGAGCTTTGATGCAGACGCCGGTAACGGCACTTTTACAGTCATAGAAGACACTCAGAGTAAGACGTATGTTTACAAGC